CCATTTCTTCTAAGATGAGCTGATTATCTCTCTGACCTCCCAGCATAAATGTCAGTGGAGGCAATCCAGATTTGCTTCCATTTTGTGTCCCCCAGGGTGATGTGGTCCAGGATGGCAGGGGGATGTCAGGGAGCTGGCTCTGGTGTCCCTGGAGGCTGTCCTTCCCAGGGCCTCACTGCGCTCAGGAGAGCACAAGGAGGACAGGCTTTGCAAGAGGACGGACCTGGCCTGGGCCATCAGTGCAAGTGGAGCAGCTTTTTAAAGTCAAAATTGCTATCCAGAAAGCCTGGCTCAATACCCAGCTTGCTCTGCTTGAACTCGCTTCACCATTATCTCCCACCAGCATCCACACTGCATTCAGAAATAAGGAATTATTTCTGCCTTAACATGGGGCTGGTGTTGTGAGTCTGCTGCATGGCCTTGGAGGTGACCCACCATGGGGCAGGGGACTGCCCTGGGTGGGACAGCTGGGGTCAGACCCTTGCCTGGGAACTGCAGGGCTGGGGTCACCTTTAACCTTGAGTGCAACAGAGGGGGGACAGGGTCACCCTGTGGGGCTGGGGACTGCACTGGGGATGGGGTCACACCATGAAGCTGGGTACTGCAGTGGGTGCCAGAGGTGACCTTGTGGGGCTATAGGGCCTATAGGGCCCCCAGTAGATCTCGGAGCTCTCCCTACAGCACTGCTGCTGACCAATCCCCACACAGAGTGTGGTTCTCCACCAACCCCCTGGTTCCACCTAACCCCACCCTCTGGCCAATCCCAGCCCTACCCGGGGTATTTAAGCTCTGCCCCAGGCAAGCCCCTCAGTGTAGTTGTTGTTGCTGTTCTGGGTGCTTTATGGCTCTGTTTTTGTGGGCTTTGTTCATCTGTGCTCTCTGCCTTGACGCCAAAGACCATGGAGATTCTGTAGGTAGAAACGCCTGTCCCAATGCGGGAGGCTGTGCACAGCAGCTGGTGCCCCAGGGAGGTTGTTCTGGGTTAGGCTAAGGCTGGGGGAGTGCTCATGGACATGCAAGAGAGGGTCAAGTCCCTGTTGCAGCTTCTGCAAAGTCTTTGCCTCATAAGATGTGCCACGTGAAGTGCTGTGCTTAATGCTGTCTTTCTGGTGGTACTGAGGAACACCAAGCTTGCTGAACCTGTAAGTGATTAACTCTTTAACAAGGCACCATTATAGGGGACACCTGCTGCAGGCAGTGCTGTGGCAGGGAGCAGGGGCCTGTGTGGAGCATCACTCAGACTCTCCTTCCCATTACCACCAGCTCTGTGTGGCTGTCTACATCTTGGGCTGGTAGTGCAGTGTTAGCCTGGGGTGCAGAAGCTTTACTTGTCCCTTTCTGTAACATCACTAGAAGCAGGTGCCATCTCCTACCTGTCAGATTTTCCCTTTCCATGCTCAGCATCAAGTATCTTCAAGGTCTTGTTATGTGGAGGTTTTGGTTAAGTGAGTATCAACAAGGTTGGCTGATGCCACCTTTGCACACACAAGTAGGAGTGGATTGCATACCACATAAAGTTTGCCACCTAACAAAGTATAGGTGAAACAGTGTCATTCTCGCTCTTCCTCTCAAGGTTAGGGAATCAAAACAACGGTAGATCTCATGACAGCAAAAGAAGGAATTCAAGTGGAATTGAGTTGTCAATCCAAAAGTCTGTGTCAAGTAGTGAAGGCTAATACAATGTGTCCTTGGTAATGTGGTCCTCTTATCTTAAACAAGGTATTTGGAATAACAGAGCTAGTTACTTCCTCAGATAAGGGAGGGAAAGGCAGGGAACTGCAGGTGAGCTATGGAGATCAAAATCACTGGCACTGAGCTCTCAAGTGCTCAGGAATGAGCCTGGAGACAGCAAATGGCTGAAGTGTTGATGTGCAGACACCTGTATGATTCCAGGCTGTTTAGGAACAGTACAGGCTTCCCAGTGAAAAATCATGGTGGGTAAATCCCCAAATCTCTGAAGCAAGGTGGTGTCCATAACTACTGGATATGTATGGCCTTGGAGTAAATACTAGCAGAACACAGAGGGAAACTTGAAGAAAATCTGAGGCAAAATTAGCAACTCTTTGTATTTCCATTATGTGAAATAAGTCTAGAATTCTGACAATATGTATGATGCTTTCTATAAAATCCCATTTTAATCAGTGATGACAGTTTGACATTTTTCCAGCTGCTTAGGAGCACTAGACAGTCAAGTATCTCAGTAGGGCACAGGTTGGCATGCTGGGATGTATGTAAGCTTTAACTTTCCTCCCACTCACTGACTTACAATGGTATTCGAAAAACAGGAGGGGAAAAAAAGGCTTTTTGCAGGCTTCACACTAGCTTGTGCCATCTGTGTTTTTAGTCTTGCCTTGTAGAAGTAAAATCTTCACTTTGAAAGTGTATCCAGATGCTGCCAGCTAATATTATCATTCTCAGTAGCAAGTGAGGATTTTATTTATAAAGTGTCCTGGCCTTTGCTGAACAATTCATGGTTCTGCACACTTGAGGGACATATAAA